GAAGTGATGATATATGTGTAGGCGATTTTGTTGGGGGTTTTGGTAAACGTCGTTGTAGGCACATCCATGTTACTGTCACTAAAAATATAATCTTACAAGAAATGTGTTTAAAAAAATATGGTTCTCAGTAACATCAATCTTTAATTCGTGTAAGAAACTTTACCTTGATCACCATTTGTTTTCATATGATTCGATGAGATTATCACAAGCTCCACCTGATCTCAGCATGATACTAGGCTCACTCAAAAAACCATACACATATTTGCCTATACAATTAATGTAATTTTAAAAGTCCAATTTGAAATTTTGAAAATTGAAATGACATAATTTAAGATTGCGTTGAATTAGTCACCAAATAAGTAGATGCATGTAACACCTTTTTTATTTGCCAGACACGCATGTAAGTTGTAACACATACACTACATTTCAATCCATTAAAAAAAGAAAAAAGATACACTACATGCATGACGTGGATTACTAACCGTGAGATGCACTGCAAATCTCATAATCAATTAAGAAAGAAAATTGCATGAATTAATTTATATTATTTAGTAGAAAATATCGCTACAAGAAACCCTACGTGGGGAAGTCAAAGCAAAGCATAGCGACTGGAATACTATAATTTGTTGCTTGTGCGACCTTCTAAAACAGCTCATTAACTACAATATATAAACACTAATAACGTTGGCCAATTTATCATTCTCTTTCGAGTGGCCTCAAAGCAATTTGCATAATTCCACAAGGACAAAATTTTCCTCCAATTGCTCTTATTTGACTAGGTTTGTTTTTTGGTTTTTAGGACAAGCGATAGTCTAAACTAGAGAGGGGGATTTCACACACATACAACTAACATGCCGTATGGATTCAAACCTAAAACCTCTTGTCTGTAAATCAAGGTCCTTTTCTACTGGACTAGTTAGTTGGATTGACTAAGTTTCTTTGTCACATATTCATTTGTGTTCAAGGTTTGTGAGCCCAGCTCATCTTCGTTTGGATAGGCCGGAAAGGCTATTTAAGGTCGATCTTAATTAAAATCATCATGGGCCTTGGCCTTTTTTTCTTATGAGCCCAGCTCATCTTTTTTTTATTCTCCTTATTACTTAGTGCCATCATGGGCCTTGGCGATCTGAACTAAACAAACAAACTCCTTAACTCCCTTAACTAACTTTTCAATTCCCTTCCACCAGAGCAAATCCCACACGTCCACGTGTCAAATCTTAACCCGCCAAAAACAACCTTCCCCTTACATCGGAAGTGATGATATATGTGTAGGCGATTTTGTTGGGGGTTTTGGTAAACGTCGTTGTAGGCACATCCATGTTACTGTCACTAAAAATATAATCTTACAAGAAATGTGTTTAAAAAAATATGGTTCTCAGTAACATCAATCTTTAATTCGTGTAAGAAACTTTACCTTGATCACCATTTGTTTTCATATGATTCGATGAGATTATCACAAGCTCCACCTGATCTCAGCATGATACTAGGCTCACTCAAAAAACCATACACATATTTGCCTATACAATTAATGTAATTTTAAAAGTCCAATTTGAAATTTTGAAAATTGAAATGACATAATTTAAGATTGCGTTGAATTAGTCACCAAATAAGTAGATGCATGTAACACCTTTTTTATTTGCCAGACACGCATGTAAGTTGTAACACATACACTACATTTCAATCCATTAAAAAAAGAAAAAAGATACACTACATGCATGACGTGGATTACTAACCGTGAGATGCACTGCAAATCTCATAATCAATTAAGAAAGAAAATTGCATGAATTAATTTATATTATTTAGTAGAAAATATCGCTACAAGAAACCCTACGTGGGGAAGTCAAAGCAAAGCATAGCGACTGGAATACTATAATTTGTTGCTTGTGCGACCTTCTAAAACAGCTCATTAACTACAATATATAAACACTAATAACGTTGGCCAATTTATCATTCTCTTTCGAGTGGCCTCAAAGCAATTTGCATAATTCCACAAGGACAAAATTTTCCTCCAATTGCTCTTATTTGACTAGGTTTGTTTTTTGGTTTTTAGGACAAGCGATAGTCTAAACTAGAGAGGGGGATTTCACACACATACAACTAACATGCCGTATGGATTCAAACCTAAAACCTCTTGTCTGTAAATCAAGGTCCTTTTCTACTGGACTAGTTAGTTGGATTGACTAAGTTTCTTTGTCACATATTCATTTGTGTTCAAGGTTTGTGAGCCCAGCTCATCTTCGTTTGGATAGGCCGGAAAGGCTATTTAAGGTCGATCTTAATTAAAATCATCATGGGCCTTGGCCTTTTTTTCTTATGAGCCCAGCTCATCTTTTTTTTATTCTCCTTATTACTTAGTGCCATCATGGGCCTTGGCGATCTGAACTAAACAAACAAACTCCTTAACTCCCTTAACTAACTTTTCAATTCCCTTCCACCAGAGCAAATCCCACACGTCCACGTGTCAAATCTTAACCCGCCAAAAACAACCTTCCCCTTACATTATACTCTCTGAATCTGCAACTACACCCAGACTCATTTGCAAAACCAAACCCCTCTCCAAACTCCAGGAAACGAAGAACACCCCCCAACAATGGCGGCAGCCCAAATCCTTCTCTCTCTCATTGTCCTCTCAGTTCTCTCTCTCTCCTCCGCCCTCCCCACCCAAACCCTCGTCAACGCCGCCGAAATCCTCTCAGATTTCGGCTACACCTCCATGGCTCTGACCCTCGACCTCGCCTCTCAAACCCTCCTCCTCTCCCAGTCTCCTTCTCTCACCATATTCGCCCCCACAGACGCTGCCTTCTCTCACTCCGGTCAGCCACCGCTGAACCTCCTGCAATTCCACATCATTCCCCTTTATTTCTCTCTCCGATCCCTCAAGTCCCTGCCTTTCGGCGCCAAGATCTCAACTTTACTCTCTGACCACTCTCTCTCCGTCACCACTTTGGCCAACGACCCCAGAGTCTCACTCAACAACGTCCCCATCACTGTTTCCCCAATTTTCGATGACGGGTCGTTGATAATTTTCGGAATTGAGAGGTTCTTGGACCCGCATTTCCGGATTTTGGGTCCTCTTCGGAGCTACACCCCCAAGAATCTTGGATGCTTGGCCCCGAAGAGCCCGAACGAGGCGATGGAGGTAAGGGGTGCTTATTATCCATTTAGTGAAGCTTCTAATGCGCTGAGGTCGAAAGGGTGCTCTGTTATGGCTTCGTTTCTTGAAATGCAATTTCGTGGGTTTTTCTTCAAGTACCAGACCATGATGACTGTGTTTGCTCCATTTGACCAAGTCTTGATGAACCGAGTTGGGAACTTGAGTGAGCAATCCTCCATCTTTCATCGCCATGTGGTGCCCTGCAGGCTTTTGTGGAGCGATTTGGTGAGTTTCAATGATGGGACGGTGTTGAGGACTAATCTGATGGGGTTTACCATCAATATCACTCGATCCCAAGACGTGTTGATGCTCAATGGTGTGTCGGTCATTTTTCCGGAAGTGTATCACAATGGCTGGCTTGCGGTTCACGGAATCAGTGAGGTTCTTGAGGTGCCACATAGAACAGAGCAAACAGAGCAAGTGACTGTGGCTCCGTCTGAATTTGGTAACAGCTACCCCGAGGAAGAGAGTACCATTAGTCACAGCCATTTTTTTGTTGTAAGGCCTACATAACATAGCAATCTTGGTAGCCTTTTGCTCTCTGGTTATATTAGTATTCAGTAGCATGCAAGAATTGTCAATTTTGTTACGCATCTCTCTGAAGAACAAGTTCTGCATCTATGAGGAGTTATTGTAGAAAAGCTGTTGCCATGATCCTTAAATTTGGTACATTAAACTAGTCAGAATTACAGGAGATATAAGAGGGCTGTATTCAGATTGCTTGGAATTCATGTATATTTGTGGATTCAATGAACTTCATTCTAGTTCATGTTTTAGACTCTTTGATTTTTGCACTTTTCTTTTCTGTTTTCTTTTTCATTTTCTTCTTCAAGTAATGCGCAAGGGCCTTATCACCAGCAGAGGCTTTTCCCTACATTTTGTGCAACTTATAAACAATTTGAACATTGACTTTAGCAAAAATAAGCTCTAAAATCCTCTGGTGGCAATAGTTATAACAAGTTGTAATTATAGTAATACATCAGCATAGCCGAGCCCTTAAGGCCTGCTGAACTGTGCATAGAAGGCTTCCAAAAATACTTGGACGTATCTCTTTAGCGCAAACCAACTAATGGAGTTTTTCTCAGTCTGTCAATTTTCAGACCAAAACTTATTACATCATCCTTTCTCCCCTCATCGAGAAGGGCTTGTTTCAAATTACTAAACATCTGCGCTGGAGGTCGAATGCCCACGTCCAACATCTCTTGAAAGTACTTGCAAGCGTCATCTAACTTATTCTCATGGCACAAGCTGTTGATCAATGTGGAGAACATGTGCATTCCCGGCAGGACGCCTTTAGTCTTCATCTGATCCCAAACCCGTAATGCCATATCCACTTGATCCTCGTTACAAAACATCCTCACTAGGATTTCATACGTACTTACTGTTGGCTCACAGCCAGGCTCCCTACTGATTTGCTGGAAAACGGAGTAAGCTTGTTCTGTTCTTCGAGCCTTTACCAAGTGATGTAAGATTATATCATAAGTTCGAGGATTGGGACCAATCCCACATTTCCTCATCTCCTCCACCACCCTGAACGCATCATGCATCCGCATTGACCAGCAGTAAGCCCCAACAAGAGCATTATATGTGGGTGCCTCCGGCTTGAAACCACTTGCTTTGTTTAGTTCAAAAAACTCAAGGGCTTCACTCAACCTCCTTTCAGAACCCAACCCATTAATCAAAATACAGAAAATATGAGGTGTAGCCTTGACATTCTTTGCTTCCATCTCACGAAACAAATCAATGGCTTCATCATACTTCTTAGCTTTACAATGCGCATTGATCAGAATACCACTAGTCACAACATCCGGGTTGAACCCCTCGTCCTTCATTTCTCTATAAACTTCATTCAACCTCAAAAAGTTCTGTTCTTGACCCCATCCTTCTAACAAAATAGTGTACGACTTAATATCGGGTTTAAACCTTGCGTGCTTCATTTTATCAAACACCTCCTGTGCTTTCTCAACCTGCCTCGACTTGCTTAAAGTATCAATCAGTCTATTGAAATCCGACACTTCTACCTTCATTCCAAACTTCTCCATCTTTTCGAACGTCTCTATCGCTTCCTTAACCTTTTTGGCCCTCGAATATCTTCGCGAAATCAAAGCAAAAGTCTCCTTACTCAACAGCCCTTTACTCTTCATGTCATTCACCAATTCCCATATCATCTTGAACTGTTTGATCTTACCCAGAGCTTCAATCAAAGCATTGTAGCTCTCCATAGTATGCTTAAACCCTTTTTGCTTCTCTGCCCACCGGAAAAACGAAAGCGCAAGAACGCCGGCATTGCTGAGCTTTTTCAAGACCTCGACTACAAGTGCCGGCGACACCTCAACTGAAGTACCATCGAGAAAGCTATCGATGGGGGATTTAGAGTTGCTGGTGGATAGTATTCTACAGATTTTTTCAGCATCTTCGGTGATTTCGCGGTTATTTGCACCTGGGATTTTGTCACTGGCCTCATCAGGCACTTGGGTTTTTCCTAGGCCATCGTGAATTGCTCTATAAAAACCACCAGTGCGATTGCTGAGGAACCCAGATGGATTTTCAGTATGTAGTGTTCGATTACGAGTGAAGTTTGTGAATTTGATGCTTCGTAGTGAAGTCGTAAGTGATCTGTGAGAACCAGTTTGACTGGTTGGCGTTGAACGAAGATTGGGGAACGGAAGGAAGGAATTGATGGGCTTTTTGGATGGTTTTGATACAAGATTGAAAAATCGAGAGAGACCCATTTGAGAGCCAAGGAGATTGGGTTCAACCGAAGGTGCGAATTCTGAGAACTGAGTAAGCTTTGGTTAAGGGTATTCGCATTTGGGGGTTTAACTTTGGCGGGATGTTGGATAGCTTATTTTTATTTTTATTTTCTTTGAACTGAAAAATAGGTGAGTTTGTTGGCGGTTTTAAATGGTTAAGAACATTTACCCACCGATATCGCTTATATCGAAATAGGAAAAAAGGGGTGAGTTTAATTGTTTTCCATGGCCTCTCTTTATTGGTGAAATTGGCAACGAAATCAGATCTAAAAAAACAAGAGAGAGACATTCACTGTGAAAAAGATACAAGACGTTAGAATTTAAAGAATGAATTTTGGATCCAACATTCAAACAGTCCCTAATTTAATCGGAAGTAGAACATACAACAGCATGCAGTGGCAGCACAAAAGAGGGAGACCCTCTTACTATGCCACAGTACAGCCCAATATACCTCAAGCGAACTCACTATGTTTCTCCCTTCTACTCTGCCCCCGTTATAAACAATAGTCAAGCATGAGACTGGAGGAACCCCAAAAAAAGTGCGCTTCAGGGGGCCAAAAGAATGTATCTCTGCTGTTGGCAGTCTTCCAAACTAATCATCAAGTTTAGATCATAGGAAACCGCACCAAGTATCTGAACTGAAGATCCTTTTTTTCAATTCACACATCTTCATTGGCATTGATTTGATTGCGCAGTCCAGTCATCAAGAAGGTTAGTAATCGACTCTTCAAATTTCTTCGCTTGGGGGCCCGGCTTCAAGATATTGGCATCACCCCATTGAGAGCATGGATCCATCCACCAGCTTTTCCAGCCTGAGCACCATGCCCCTGGGGCAGCTCGATTTCGCCCACGCTTGAGGATCTTTTCATCAACCATGTCCAGCACAGGGTCATCTTTCTGGAATTGTCGGGCAAAAGCAGCTCCACCTTGAACCATTTGATCATAATCCGAGATATTGAGGAAGTGGGGTTCCATTTTGGGGGGAGTGTCCCAGATCATGTATCTTAAATCACTGTTCACAGTAGTGTTCTTAAACTCTGGTGAATTGCATATAACAGAATGAAAATATCCTTCCTGGGACAACATCACATTCGTAAAGTACATGAGCATGGTCCGGGGAAGGTTATCCCAACCAAGAATGCAAAATTCCAGAAAGGATCTGCTCAGGATGACCCATGGGGAACCTGCAAATCAAGAGAGAATTGTTTCTAATTAGCAGTTCCACATGTGGGAAGCATACCCATAAGGGTAATCCTTACATAAGAAGTGTGTAAAAATTTGCCTGTGAATATTTTAAAAGCATCAGGAGTTTTCCGCTTCTCTGTAGCATGGAAAATTTGGCTCCTCCGGGCTAGGTATAACCCTGGATCAACTACAATTGGCTGGACCCTATGCAACCTACATAAAAATAAAAATAAAAATAAAAATAAAAATAAATAAATGGGTTCAAGTTCAATTAGACATACGTGCCAGAACACTACAGCTAAAATTAGCGAAAAGGGTTTGCCTACTCTTTCCATCCAAGGTCACTGGTGTGATCAATGAAATTGAGATCTCTTCTAACAGAGGAGAACACATGAGACAGGTCTGAAAGAACAAAACAGAAGCAGAAATAAATAAGTTGGCACAATTTATCAAGGAAAACAGCAGAATGTAATTAGAGTACATAGATGATGTTAGAAGAATCACCAAAAGAATTGAAACAAACGCCTGAGACATTTTAGAGCATTTCACCCTTACCTTAAAGAGAAATAAATAAAGCTATAACAGTAACAACAATATAGAATCAAGAAAAAAAGGGTGGCGGGTTACCAAAGTCAATGACTACATAACAAGAAAATGGGCCATGATATCCTCAATAAGCCTTGGGAAAGAAAACTTGCACCAAACAAGGCAAATTGATTGATCAAAAAGAAGAAAAAAAGAAAAGAAAAAGAGGCAAATAGATCATCACATCCAAGGATGAAATAAGTGAATTATTGTCTCCCTTGGACAGATAAGCTTCAAAGAATTGCCAGAGGCCCATCACTTGCATTAGGATCCACGAAAAACTTCTGTAAGTTGGGATATGCCGGTACTCAAAATTTATATATACACCAAGAAGGCATAAAAGTGGGAACCAAGTTGGTCGCCTGAATCAGAGTTAAAATTCAGGTAAGTACAAAAGCTGCTTTTGAACGGATAACAGACAAATAAAACGTCCCAAGTGAAATTGACTAGATTTTGATGAAAATACTAATCCCAGCAGCTAAATATCTTCCTCTATCCTGATAAGTTTCTGCCATTTTTTTTCTTAGGGATTTGGTTCCTGGGTAATTGCATATACAGACAAGCACCTAGAATCCCTTGGCCTATACAATCCGAAGCCTATATTGAACGCTAGGACTGTCAGAACCCAATCCAGCAACAAGAGTTATGTGTTATCCCATGCTTGAGGGTTGTGCCCCTTGCCACATGTAACAAGGGAGGATTCAAGGGAACCATCCAACTCTTAAAAGGAATTTGATTCAAAAGTAAACTCCAGACCAAAATTACTAAAGTAATTAAGTTCAGCATAAGGAGCTGACATGACAACATTAAGTTCACTAGAACTGGAGTTACCAGGTCAGAGAAACAGCAGCCTAGGCCAATCTCGTTTCACAAAACTTAACTACCAATACATCAAGTTCTTCTACAAATGTCACAACACATTCCCCATTGTACACAAAGATTAATTTCATTTGCTCCTATACATGAATCGGTGAGGACATTTAGAGAAGGGAAATTCGAGGTAGGACTTCTCTTTATGGGAGGAGATCTGTGGCTCCAAACTGGTCTATGCCAGCCTCGCTCTTGTATATAAATACTTTAAACTAATAATGAAGGAAGGAAACGCACATAAATGCTTCCTTAGATACACACTTACACTAACTCAAAGAGCCATATTCTTTCAGTCAATTCAGACAAAATTCAATAAAATAAACGAAATCAAAACTCTTTTAGACCATATTTAATTTCCCAAACAGGTAAATAAATTAGCTTTGGCAAGGAGGGAAAACGAAATCCCAATAAAATAAAAAGAAATTGAAAAAATTGGCATACCGTCCTGAGTGATAAGTGGGTAATCCATAGCACTCAAAGTGACGAACCAATCCCACCCACTGTCAACCTTCAACAAAATCGCCGCAGCGCGCAACGTGGTGGCAATATTCGAAGAGCCCATGTAGGTGATTCGATCAGGCTTGCCCACCACATCCACATTTCCAAATGCTCGAATTGCTGGCACCGCCTTGATGGCCGCGGCAAGGCGGCGCCGTTCATCTTCAGATTCATCAGCCGAGAGATGCAACAAGTAGCGATTTCGCGGATGATAGACGGCGAGCAATAGCCGGAGGATCCGACCCCTATCGCCCCGGCCGCCCCATATGTAGTAAGCGAAAGCGGGCGGGTAGTGAGAGCCGTGCTGGACAATTGAAAGGAAGGGTTTGGGTGAGCTGAAGGCAGAGATGGAGGAGAGCAAGAGGAGGAGGAGAGAGAGGAATGTGGCCGAGAAGAGCGTTAGGAGCCATTTCTTCTCAGCTCCCATAATGGGTCGGTTTTGTTGGTTCTTCAGCTGCTTGTTGTTGGTGGAGTTGGGGCATATGCGTTGCTGAGTCAAATCAATGAAATTGGGGATGTGGGTATAGTGAAGTTTAGGTTTTCAGACGGGTTTAGGTAATGGGTCAGTGAGGATCTTGGTCTTTGTAGGTTTGAAGCTAAAGGGTGGTTGTTGTTTGAATGGCAAAGCAAATGAGCATGTGGGTGTTTACAGATTGAGCTACAGAAGTAATTGTTTTCGTTAAATGTTAGATCAAAAACTGTCAAATTTTGGCTTTCTCTCTCTAAAATAATTGCTTTCTCTGGCTCTGTAACAGTGCTAGGGTTAGGATTTTCAGGTTAAGAATTGTTGTGATGAAGAAGAAAATGGAGTTCATCGATTTTCCCTGTGGGAGTTTTGATTTCTTTGATCTCATAATGATAAAAGTATAAGTTACACACACACACACAAACTTTTAATTTAATTTAATTTTTTTGGTGTGTTTAAAAACTTTTAAATAAATAAGAAAACCTCCACGCCCGTAAATACGCGTGAACACACGTTCCATCTTCTCTGCTTCTTCTTCCTGGGGATTTGATTTGGCCCGTGTTTTGGGCGATTGGATTACGGGGCGGCGCTTACGTTCTTTTGCTCTCGGGCTAAGAGAATAATATACGACAAGCAATTGCGGCCGCCACTATCCGGGACTTGCTTGGGTTTGCCTTTTCGTTCATAGCATTTGCTAATTCCACTCACGAAAGCTGCTGCAAATAGCAAATTTTGTGGGTGGAAATGGAGATCTGCATCCCACTAATACAGGTGTCAATTGTGACGTCTGTGATGATGTAATGGCATTGGGTTTTTAAAGCCTTGGTAGATTCAAGATTGGTAGGCTTACCTTACGATGACGAAAGGGATAACTGTATTTATAAGCAATAATTAGGTGCCATGTAATTATTGTTCATATATTATAATGACTGCTTGCTAGTCTCTTAATATGATACATAATTAAGGAATGTCACGAGCCATAAAGAGTCATGGACCATATTCCATACCATAAGTATTATTATTAGTAATATTATATGAATCTCAAGTTTAAGATGCCGACAGCCGACATCATGTGCCTACCCCAGCAAACCACTTCGTTATTGATTTGTTTACCATCACAAAGGTAGCAACTAGCAAAACTTGGTTCTTTTTATTGTCAAAATTTTCAAGTGAAACATTGTGACGCAAACAGGGCAAGCTTATAACAAATTTAAGTGGCATCATTCACGATCGCACAAAATAATAGGATGTGTAAATAACAGGGTGTATATATTATCTTCTTTTCTTCTTCAAGCCTCGGTTTACCACCGTAAACATCCGCTGGACTGTCTTGGACAACCTACGTGGAAGATCAAGGTTGCCCGATTTCTCAGATGGAGTTGACTGAATCATCATCACTGCCTTCATTATCGCTGCTGCTGCTGCTGCTACCACTGCCACTTCCACTGCTGCTGCTCCCACTTCCACTGCTACTACCGGAAGTAGAAGTCTGCTTTTCCCTCCCCTCTGCGTTCACCTGGGCTCGAAGGGCTTCTGCAGCATTTGGCCCCTTATCAACTTCATCACCACTATCATCCACATCAGCAATCTCATTATCACTTTCATTTTGATTTCGCATACTCATATCAAACCCAGCATTAGCTCCATCTTCCGCAGCATTCCCGTTTTCAGGCGATACACTGCCAAAAAGTTCTTCAATATCTATATCTTGATGTTCCTCGACCTCCTCATTCTTAGGGTCTGGCGAGGCAGCAGAGACATTCAGTTTATCAGATGAGTAATCAACCACACCTTTATTGGCACTTTTTGCACCTGTTTGTATAACAAATAAAGCATTAGGATATATGATAACCGGTCAAGCATAGGGGAATAAAGCATTAGTATTTGGACAAGACAATGCATAGAGGAATAAAGCCATCTGCAAGATGGAAATCTTATCCTTAATTGTTTCCAATAGACTTCAAAAAGTCGAGAGGAAGGTCAAGTTAGCCCAACAAAGTAGCAAGGTAGACAAGTGGCCACTGGTCCTTACATGAACATGAATCCCGCCACTCAACTGCTTCCTAGAGTCCACAACAAACTACCTACTTAATACTTCTGAAGTCATTCATGATTTTGAGAAATAACTAGGCCCATGAACAGCTCTTGCAAGTTCTTAACATTTAGATGGGGGTTGCCATAGTACAACTTTAGTAATCACATACTAGGTAACATATAAGATAGACCATTGGGGCCCCATTGAATTTGAATTGGGTTTCAATTGTCACAAACATGTAGCGTAAGGTATTGCAACTGGGTGACGAAGCAGGCACCATGGTCTATACGATGCAAACAACAGATCATTTACGAAGAAAACATTTGACAGGAAGGTACGCCCACAATCAGGCAAAATGGACTCCTTCTCCACTAGGAAAGAATTAATTCAGTCGCGTAAAAAGACAGTTCAACAATAACTTCAAAATGTGGTTTCAATTTGACTAAGGATCACACACTTGCACTTTAAACCACTTCACAGTTAAACTGACACTTTCAAATGGTTTCAGAGCTTATGCATTTAAAATCTTCCAAGTCAGTTTCATTATACAAAAATGTTAGAATTCGGTTTTGTCGGAGCAAATTCAGTACAATAGCACATCTTGATCAATATATCATCAGAGAATGTAATTACCCCAAGATACACCGTACTGTTCTCACTAGCACATAGAGCTTCATGCAGTGCATTGCAACTAAAAAACAAGCAATGTCTACTAATGAATCCAATTCGACTCCGATCCTCTTAAGAGATCAAGAAAACAGAAACTTTGAGAAACAAAAGATTCAATGGATATGCTTACTTCAAAAACAACAACAAAACAAAGAAGCATATAAACAAACCTGAATTCCCAGGTATTCCAACATCTATTCGTTCCACCTCAACCTGTATCCACACAAGGCAAAAACTTTAAACATCATGAGGAAAGAGAAAAGAAACCATAGTTTTAAATTTCAGTTGCTTTAAATAGATTTAAGTTGTTAAATAGCTTTACATTGCAGAACTGAATTAAAACTCCCCAAGGGCCAATATTGAATCATCATAATTTACATTAACAGAAACTCACCGGCACAGCAGGGAATGCAGTTCTACTAGGATGATGTATTGGCTTCGGGGCCTTGCCGACCGGAGACAGCTGCGGCTCCACGGCGGACCCCGATTGAGCGGCACCAGCCGCCGATTCACCGGGCTGACGATCATGCCGGAGCTGCTTCACGGCCCGGTGAAGCCTCTCCAACCGAAACGTCTGGCCGTCGAAGAACAATACGGCGTCGTTATCCTTGTAGTCCTCGCTGCTCCCCTTGAAGGTCACATTCGGTTTCCCCAATTGGTTGTTTTGAAATTCCACCGTAACCCTATTTTCCTTTGTTTTCTTGAGCGTCCCCGGCTTCGTCTTGTCAATCGACGCCGGTTTAAATTCGTCTGCAATCAATTTCAAAATCGAAAAAAAAATTAGGGAGATTTTCTATGCAACCAAACAAGGCGTTAGGGATGAAACTTACATCGCAGAGTGCAGTACTTGTTGGATGAGTCGTCTTTGAAGGAAGGGCCAAGGGTTAGGTTGTACCAGAGATCGGGCTGAGGACCGGTCTTGGGCTCTTCCTTGGAGTTATTCGCCATGGTTTCGAGAATGTTCAGGAGGCTCAAGCGAAGACCGAACGACGCAGGTGGGGTCCACGCCTTGCTAACATGGCAAGATGATCTGAGCGCATATATCTTTTAGCTCAGAGGAACCAAAGCGGTCAGGCGAAGGAGAAGACGGATGACGACATGGTCTCAACGACAGCGGGATGTCTTTACTGAGAGAACTGATATCTGTTTCGATTCGCACCAACCCGATTCGGATGGGTTTGGATTGGATTTACGGGAGCTAACCCGAGCCTTTTATAGGCCAGTAGTCAAAAAAGGCCCATTTGACCGGTTGGGCTATGGTGGGCCGCCTACACGAGAGCAAATCCCTCTTATCCTCAAAAGGGACACGTGTCGCTCATGCGAAACTTACTCCCTTAAAACGGCGTCGCTACATTCTTACTCCGAATTATCTCTTTACTGAAAGCTACTAGCTTCTCAGAGCTCAGAGCTCAGCAGTCAGGCCTCAAGCTCTCCGCCTGTAGCAAAAGAAAAGGAGAAGTGGTTATCGCTGAAATGGTTCAATTAGGCGGGAAAAAAGTTGGCCAGATGGTGTTGGGCTTCGGAGGCAGCGGCGTGGGCCAGGCTCTAGCTGCCGTGGCCGCAGCGCTTTTGCTCCGGCTCTTATCCGGCCCAGGCCCAGCGCTCTCGCCGGAAACCGAGGGCGGCGACGATGATAATGACGCGACAGACGACAAAGGTGAAACTCCGATTTCCGGGAAATTGGTTCCGGTTACAATCCGGTGGCGCAACATCAACTGCTCTCTCTCTGACAAGTCCTCAGCAGCAGTAAGTTTTCATTTGTTCAATTTTCAAACGAAATTTATCGTAATGTACGTTTGGTTGCAGAGAAAATTTTCAGGATCAAATGTTTAATTAACTTAATTTTGAATGCTTAGATACGGTTTCTGCTTAAGAACGTTAGCGGGGAAGCGAAACCAGGGAGACTGTTAGCGATTATGGGGCCGTCAGGATCAGGAAAGACGACGCTGCTAAATGTACTTGCGGGTCAGCTAACTGCGTCACCTCGGTTACATTTATCAGGTCTATTGGAGGTCAATGGAAATTCTAGTCCTAACAAAGCCTATAAGTAAGCTTTTCGTTTATGTTTCAGAGCTTATTCTATGGTTCATTTAGAATTTCTGCTTATTCTATGGTTCTCATTTGTTTAATTTTTTCTTTTGGGGGGTTAAGGTTTGCTTATGTGAGACAGGAGGACCTGTTTTTCTCGCAGCTGACGGTGCGAGAGACGTTGTCTCTTGCTGCCGAGCTCCAGCTTCCGGATATATCTTCCGCAGAAGCGAGACTCGAGTATGTGAACAGTCTGTTGTTCAAATTGGGATTGGTAAGATTGGCTAATGGCATTGATGAAGTTCAGTGTTGTTTCATCTACTGAGTTGGTAATTGATAATTTGTGAAGATGTCATACTTTTGGAAAATGATAGGATTGTGATTATGAGCTTATTTAGTTCGTTTTTAATTTTGGGGTTGCTGCTTTGTTTTCTTTGCTGCAAAAGGTCAGTTGTGCTGATACGATTGTTGGTGATGCGAAAGTCCGAGGAGTTAGTGGGGGTGAAAAGAAACGTTTGTCTCTGGCATGCGAGCTGATTGCAAGCCCCTCTGTTATATTTGCTGACGAACCCACTACTGGTAAGCAATCCCCTGCATCTATATTGTACTGGTGGATGACTATTGTAGCAGGCATTTGTTTTTTTATAACACCTTTTGTTTTCATCTAATATATACTTGTGATTCTTCTAGGGCTTGATGCTTTCCAGGCTGAGAAAGTAATGGAAACCCTTCGACAGCTTGCACAGGATGGACATACTGTAATTTGCTCCATACATCAGCCTAGAGGATCTGTGTATAATAAATTTGATGACATCGTGTTGCTAACAGAGGGTGCACTTGTCTATGCTGGTCCTGCACATGATGAACCACTTGCATACTTTTCTAAATTCGGGTCCGTGACCATAACTTGTACCAAATGATGTCTGTACTTGTGCCAAGCTGCAGCTGTCAAGTTGTGAAATTATTGACTAATCAATGATTTATTCAACAGGTACCATTGCCCAGCTCATGAGAACCCTGCTGAGTTTTTAGCTGATCTTATTTCTATCGACTACAGTTCTGCTGAAAGTGTTTTCTCTTCTCAGAAAAGAGTAGATGCTCTTGTTGAGTCATTTTCACAACAATCATCACTAGTTCTGTATGCAACTCCGATTACAAGAAGGGAAGTCTTTAACAACAGAACAAAGTTCAGCAAGAAAAGTAGAGTTCAGAAGAAGGGAGGTTGGTGGATGCAATTCCGGTTGCTCCTAAGGCGTGCATGGATGCAGGTAAGTTCTTTTACTTGCGTGCTTAGTCTTATTAAAATGGAATGAAGGATAACTTATGCCTTATGTTCATGTGCATATTGATGTGACGAAAACAAGATTAACTCAGTTTGAAAAATTGTGCAAGACATGAATTTCAATGGTAAAAATATATTAATTCATTTTGATTGAAAGATTGTTTTAGCCACTTCCTCTTCCCATGTCATACAAAGCTTTATAACAATATAACTCGTTATCAACATAACATCTGCACTTTTTAAGTAACATTTGAGTAGTCAACAGTGAGGGTGATATGCATGTATTTAGGTGGGTTTGGATGATGAATTGGATTGTTTTATGAATGTTAACTCCAGTTAATTCTATCTGATCAACATCTCTGAACAAATGACTAGGCTTCCCGTGACGGACCAACAAATAAAGTTCGGGCAAGAATGTCAATTGCATCAGCTATAATATTTGGATCGGTTTTTTGGAGAATGGGAAGATCTCAGACATCAATACAAGACAGAATGGGATTGCTTCAGGTGTGAAAATACTTCTTTTTAAAGGACTTTGATTTTAGAGGTCTTTGCTTATTATATTTTTCTATCAATTTTGTGATTTGGAAAACCAAGCTTTAAGCATTCTGGTATGGTTATTAAGTTCCTGATCAACTCCCGTAGAGACACTCCTCATTTCATGCAATGACGACGCTTTCTACAAATTTGATTATATGACCTTTATGTGCGAAAGAAAGACAGTTTTTCAATAAGTTGAATATTCAAAACATAATTATTGAATACTAGTGTCTCTAATATAAGTTTTTAAGTTTCTTGGTCCTATTTATGGATATTTCCTCTCAGGTTGCTGCGATAAACACAGCAATGGCTGCTCTCACAAAGACAGTGGGTGTGTTCCCGAAGGAGCGTGCGATAGTAAATAGAGAGCATGCAAAAGGGTCTTATACATTAGGACCCTATCTTCTTTCTAAGTTGTTGGCTGAGATTCCTGTTGGAGCAGCGTTTCCATTAATGTTTGGCGCCGTTTTGTACCCCATGGCTCGTCTTCATCCTGCTTTATCCAGGTTTTTGAAGTCATTGTTAAGAATGTTTAACATGAGTTGATATTCTGAAACCTCCTAATTTTGTTGAAGCAATTGTAAAAAGTGAATTGTGTAAATAGCTGTATGAGATGCACTAACAGATCTGGTAACCACATAATCACACTTGCCAGCTCAATATATATGGGAGCTGCATAACTCCCTATAAAAGAGGCAATAATTTCCTCAATAGACCTGTGCAAACTGATATATGTCTATATATCGGATTTTAGACTGGACACTGAATAAGCAGAGTGGTTTTTCTTTGCAAAAATCCAGACATATACAAGGGATGCAGGGAAAATACAAAAACCTTTAAAAAGAATCATCTGTCCCTAGCACTCTTCCTTTTAGTAGAGATCAGTATTATGCTATATGGGGAGTGGGAAAGGTGAAGATGGAATTGACTATTGTCTGTTTATACTTGTATAGCTGGTTCATTTCCTCGTTATATCATTTTGCAAACCTTATCATTTTTAACTCTGTGAAAAGTGGGCTGGTTCAGATCACAAGGTTTACTTGCAATTTTTTTGGTCTTTCAGATTCGGGAAGTTTTGTGGTATTGTGACAGTGGAATCTTTTGCTGCATCTGCTATGGGTCTTACTGTTGGTGCTATGGTTCCAACCACTGAAGCAGCTATGGCAGTCGGACCCTCACTTATGACAGTTTTTATTGTATTTGGAGGCTATTATGTCAATGCAGAGAATACACCAATTATCTTTCGTTGGATTCCTCGTATTTCTCTAATTAGATGGTAAGATCAAAGGTTACTTGCCAGTAAGAAACAGACATTTTGTTGATACTATACAATTAAGTATTGTTTTCGTTACCTTACGAATGTATATTGCCTTGTACACTTTCAGGGCTTTTCAAGGTCTTTGCATCAATGAGTTTAGGGGTCTTCAATTTGATCATCAGCATTCTTACGATATTCAAAATGGAGAACAGGTAGGTACAGGGAAACTTTCAAGAAACGGAATCAAAATAAATACTTCCTCTAACCATATCTAGCTCTAGGTGTCGTTATTTGGTGATCAGTATTATATCTCGTATGAACGTTGTTATACTACTCATTGTGTGTTCCTAAAATAGAGGTAGAAACGATCCAATCAATTTTGTATATGATTTTCAATTTACCATTCCTTTTGTCCCTCCTAAGAGATTGTTTCTTAATATATTCATTTCTAAACCTTCTACTTAAAAGAAACTAATTACAAGAACCAATTCTGGAAGAACCTATGAAATGGCCAAACAAGATACATGCATTTGACTCATGAGGTGGACAATTTTGTCCTCGAGGAAGTTTTATATCTAATACCTTCTACTCTGTTTCTTTCTTTTTCTGCAGGCACTTGAACGCATATCCTTTGGAGGAAGTCACATTAGGGATACAATGATTGCTCAAAGTAGAATACTGTTGTTTTTGTATTGCACCACTTACCTTCTCCTTCAGAAAAACAAACCGAAATACCAGCAGCTGGAGGCCGCACCTCTTGACGAAATCCAACCAGAGGTGCAGCTTGAGCCTTTAAATACTGAACAAGATGAACAAAACCAGCCAAAGGAACCACCTGTAACACTCAATCAAGTTGAATTAAACCAGCCACTTGAATCATCTCCCCCAATTGACCAAGCCCCAGAGTTTGTCCTAGAAGGTTTGTAATTACTTGGGCATTAGTAGTGTTGTTATCGCATGTGCCACTATTTATTGATTTGTTTCATACAGGTGCTAAGTAAAGGAGATATGTTAAGCAATAAAGAAGCCTCGTGCCATTTTCTGACCAAATGAGCCATTTCTATGCGACATGACATAAAAGTC